GCACTTGGCTTTTATAATAAGTAACTTCAACTCTGGAGAATCACTTTAGCGTAAGGTTATTCAAATTCACTAAATGGTTATCGAGGAAAAAATGAAAAATTAGCTAAACATCTCGTTTTTACTTGATGAAATAATGATAATATTTATAATTGTCTGAAATAAATGCAATTTTAAAGTTTTAATTACCATTTAAACATATTAAAAAGTTTTACGCTCAATATTAATAGAGATTGAAACTAAATATTTTTTTGTTTCGAAGTTAAAATTAAGGCATATTCACTGCCTAAAGTCAGTTAAAAATTTTCCATATTCGTTATTTCTTATTTTATTCAAAGTTTTTGGTCAAATTCCAAATTTTCTCTCAAACCGTTGACTCTTTTTTTGGTATAGATAGTATTTATTTACCTCATGATATGCTGCAAAACCTAATTAATCACGAATTTCTTATTTTATGTACTCTTGTCTCCAATTGTACCTCCTAAACATCCTTAAACCAACTGTTTAAGCAAGTAGCTAGTACGATAATAGTTGGTAAAGATGATTGAACTGTTAATTAGTTTTTTAACTGCTTTTTTCAAAAGGAAATAATTAAGGTCAAATTTTGCTTTACAATAGGTATATTAGATATAATTTTGTGTATGCAGGTGTGAAATTTAAAATTCTAAAACTTTTATCCGCATGTTAAATATCAGTTAACTTCAATTGAAAAATAGCAGTTTGTATTATTCAACAACAAACTAGATAAGTGGTTTTCTTGGTAGCAAATACTTTTATTACGTAGTTAAATTTGATGGGGTATCGTATGATTAACCGTGGTGCACACACACAGTACACATTACAACAAAAGACCATTCTATGATACTATTAGCTCTGGTCTGTGCTCTTGTTACAAACATTTGTTGAATAAACACTCAAGACCCCAAAATTTCAAAAAAAGTTTAAAAAACTAAAACGCGTTTCGAGATCCTCAGTTAGAGACTCAATGATATTTTGAATATATATATATATATACATATGTTAGTTAATTAGTACATAATTTATGATTTATAAATAAACTTACGTTCTTTTTTGTCATCACTTTGCCAATCGAATTCTCCGTTTTCCACGAGTTCAAGGAACTTATTCCTCTTCTTGAAATACATCGCTAGATCGGTAGATAGAATGGCTGTTTCTACTAGATGCATCACTTTTTTGTAATCTTCAGGCGATAACTCCTGTAACAATGGGACGGAAACTATAAAACTCCTAATTCTAGTCTAAAACGTTACGGAGAAAGAAAATCAAGAGTTTACGACATGTTTCTGGGTTTTTAATGTGTTAATTCTAATAAATCAATAAGAATTATATTTTAGTTAGCAAAAACTAACGTTTGTACGTACATACATACGTGTGTGTGTGTGTGTCTGTGTGTGTGACATTTAAACTTTTTAAAACCCACCTACTTGAAAAATATTGTTGCTATCAGTGTTGAGTATCATAACGCATTGGTCGAAATGATGATGTTCCATGGTGCTTGTAGAATACAAAACAGCCAGTGGCGAGTCGGTTTTTGTTTGAAAGGCATTATTTGTACCACGATGATCCAAATCGTGACAGAGGCAGGCCACTAAGAGACCCAAAACATCTAAGTCACTCATGAAACGGTCCATTTTTCCAGTCTTGAACATCGCAAACATTGTTTGTGCCACGTTGAGGGCATGTCTCCAGTTGTGATATTTGACAGGCCGATAGTTTTTTTTTACTGACAAAACCCAACGACAAAGGACCTGGAACAACCGGAAAACATCCTAAAAATCTTCAGGTAAAATGCCTATTGGGATAATTTAAAAAAAATGGCAAGTTTTTTTGTTCTGACCGCCGTAATTCAACTTTTAAGTCTCGCATTTCGAAATAAAAATCTCTTCTGTTGACTTAAAAATTTCCTGTTGATCTAGGACCTTTAAATTTGACACGAATGAGGACCTCAAAGCGTAGATATAAGAAAAAATTTGAAAATCCTTAATTTCCAATAAAACTACACGAATTTATTACGGGAAAAACATAATTTCTGTTTAGTTTCTTTTCTTTTTTAGTTATCATAACTGTTATTTAAAATTAACAACTAACAATAATATAATTACTTAATAAGCTTTACATTAATATAAGTAATCCTCAATTTTTATACATAAAATAATGCCTCAATTTTGTCAACTGTAAACTTTCTAAAACAAGATAACTCTCAACAATGAGCAAATTATAATTATTCCTTCAGAAAAGTTGTTTGTGTTTCTTGGAGGGTAAAAGATTTATTTTTGAAGTTTCTTCCTGAAGTCACTTCATTAAAAGTAAAACTTATTTACATTTTAATTCAAAATTGAAAAAATAAGCAAAGGAAAATAAAAGAAAAGTTCTCTGTGTTGCAAGTTGTTTAATTAATGTCGTCGAAAAAAAAAATTACAAATCAGTTTTATTAGAATAGGAGATTTAGTATTATATTTTAATGGTTCAAGTAGATTATAGTGAATACTGAATAAGTCCAGTATTACCAGCTAAGTTAAGTCTTTTCATATTTCTGAATTAGCTTTTTGGTATACAACCCCTAAAATAAACGAACTGTATAATTTGAAACACTCCTAATTTCCGTTTATCGGATAAAGGGGGTGAACATATATAAATAGGTATTATATATGTGCATATATTCTGATTAATACGTTTTGGCTAGATAATTTGTAATTAAATGGCTAACGTAGCGGCTCAATTTTTTGAATTGTTAGAGAGATACGAAATAACAGCAGTTTTCAATTAGATTTTTACACTATCCTTTTCTGTATCCCTGACAATCTGTGTATAAAATTTTATGATAGGTTCTATACTTCATTTACTTTCTCTAGCGATGTGTCCCTTCCAATGTCTTGGATGCGCGCTGGCAAAAGCGTAGGTAGGGAGAAAAAAGCTCATTATACTCTCGACTCTTGTTCATTAAACATACTTTTTCATACAGTACCTTCCAAAAGTTTTGTTGAAACATGAATAGTAGTACGAGTCGAAAACAAGCGCTAAAGCGATTAATGTATCTTCAAATATAAATAAACATCTCGTTGATATTTTCAGTAGTAAATGGTACCAATAACAGCACATTTGAGCAATGCAATTGTAGTGGATAAAATTATCAAATTTTCAGTGAGTTGTCTCCTTCCTTTTCTGGTCTAGTGCTGTTCTTCTCTACTTTGCGCCGGTCAAACTGAAGCTCACATCGCTACAGAAACTAAACGAAGTATACCCGTGGCTTCGCTCGCGTTAATGTCTTATATAAGTGACAAAGTTCATCGATGACCACATAAAACTAATTTTTGTATCCTTCGAGAACATACCCTATGTTCTTCTCTGACGATTGACTGAATAATTAAGACGTGAAATGGTAACAAATAAACAAACAAACTCACTTTCGCATTTTAAAAATAAATCGGTGTAATTTTAAGTTAGTTAATTATTGTTATTGTTAAATTGTAAAGTTTTGAACTAGTTTACCGTTTTAATCAACTTAATTAACGGGAGGTAAACAAAGGCACCTCTGCTATTAAAATAGCAGCTGTGTAATGATTAAGGACAATACGTTTGCGTGCTTTACTATGTATGGTTTAATGCTTCGTCAGCAGCAGTTATCCTGCTATGCGAATCCTTTGTCCTTTAGAGTGTTCATCCTAGCGCTTTTAGGTAAGGGGTTGACACAAGCTGATTAGCAATCAGTACGAGCCCATTCTAGATAAGTTTGTTAAATCTGTTTTGTTTAAAAGGCTCCTTGGTAAATTAAATATAAGGCTCAAATTTAAATTACTACGGGTGGATAGATTTATAATCGCAAAATAATTTGAGCAAACAGTTTGTACTGTCGGAATTTGCAGTTTTTGGTAGGCAAAAGATTGAATTAAAATTAATAAATTGAATTTTTAAGGAATCTGAATCAGGAAAATGCTAATTAATATCTCGAAAATAATGGCTCTTAATGAAGTTTTATTATTATTAATCAGTAATTTTGTAGAAGGCGTTAAATCACAATCGTAGATAAAAAAGTAATTTATCATTAGTTTAAGTTTATAGCAAATTTTTAGAAACCAAAATTTACATAATTAATATAGAATGTTGGAAACATGAAAGATTACTGAATGTTATGTTTAATAACATGGGGTTTAATGAATTTATAAAATAGTGACTTGAAAATTTCAATCTTTTTTTAAAATTATGAGATAACTGAACTTACTTCGTATGGGATATGAAATTGCTGCACGAGATTGCAGTCAAGAAACATCCTGATAGTCGCCTTACATGTTTCCAGGTCAGAAAGCTCGAAATCTATGAATGTGAAGTTTTGTAAGTTGAACGTTTCCGCAGATGGTATCTCTTCCTTTAGAAGTTGTTCGACAGCGTCATTGCTTGCAGTGGCGTGATAAGAAAGGCATTCAAGAGCTACCTTCTGCTTTGCCATCAATTTGCAAGCATTCTCGTACATTTGGGTATTATGGATACCTGAAATTAATTACGTACAAAACATTTCAATTACTTTAAGGAATATAAATATTACGTAACATTTTTGAAATGTGCTGTAACTGTTCAGTCGCATAAAGGAACTTTCAAACCGTATAAAGAATTATAGAAAAATAAATAAGTCAATTATCATTAACAAACGAATTAGGTACGATACAGTAACTCCTGGCTTTCTCGGAAATGGAACAGAATTTTGAGGACTGAATAGAAGAACTCGAGAGAGTCCCCTGAGGACGTAAAAGTTATTTCCTTGCAACACAAAAATGAATGCTAAAGTCATTCTGGAAAATTTGTATTTCAAAGGCAATTTACAACTTTAAGCGAAGAAGTCCTTGTGGGGTTAAGTACATAATCCGGAGATTTAACGAAAGTTTGTAAAGTACGGAATTTAATTTTGAAAAGAAAATGTCACATTGTACAGCAGTTCGCCCACAGTCAATAATAAAATGTAAATTGTTCAAAGTCTAAACGTATAATCTAAGCTTATGATACAATAAATTGATTTCCATGCATACGGTACCTAGCACATTTGCATGGAATAACTATCAAAATGTGAAACTATTATGCAAATTTTCTTATTAGAATATTTCAGTTGTGTTGGAGAATTTCACAAATTGAATGTGGGTGCATAAATTATCCTTTGTATAACAGCGAAATGTTATTAAATTAGTAGTTTCTAAAAGTTGCTAGAAAAGCATATTCAATTCTTTCAAGGGGGACAAACTACCATTTGTTTTAGATTAAAAATCTAAAATTTACGTAGAGTTCGATCAAATCTGCTTTTTATTTTTTGATTTTAGACAGTTTGTTACACCTTATGTTTTATCTGACCCACAACTATTTGCTGAATGTGAAAGCATATATTTCACATCCACGTATTTATTTCATTTTATTAATTTCAAATATTAATGTGAAAATTTATTGTCAATTTTTACCCGCTATAAATTACCTCAAGTTACTGAGAAAAAATAAACACCCTCGCCGGGAATCGAACCGAGAACCTTTAGTTTTACGTACCACTGCTCTAACTACTTAGCAGTAATTTATAGTGGGTAAAAATTGACAATGAATTTTCACATTAATATTTGATATATATTTACCACTATGCAATGTCAAAGTGTTTCATATATTATTAATTTCGTTCTCTGAGCTTTCAAAACCTGTAAAAGTTTACTGATGCATTTCGAAATTAGTCGATGATTGGCTTACCGAGGCCGCAAAAAATAGCGAACGCTTCAAATAATGACACATCACAGTCGGAGAAAGGCAATCCATTAGCTTTATTAATCATTTGTGCCACCCCAATAATATTCTTCTGACCGTTCACGATCGGCATGCAAAGCAACGTTTCGGCGAAATCTGCATCTGTCATATCATATTTTTCTTTTAGCCACGCTTGGACATCCACTATGTTTAATATTTGACCAGTTGTGGCACTGTATGCCGCTATTTGACCTAATGTGGATGTTTGCAGGTCGAAGGACGACGGTCTTGACATGAGGGTTTGTGCGCCACCAGCTCGTAATTCGAATACAGTAGTAAATCTGCGATGAACAGAGGAATGAGGCTTTTATTACTTAATTATGGTGTACAAATAGTGAAAAAAGTACGGAAATTATAAACTAGCCGATATATACTAGGAGAAATATCCTATATTAATCTCCTTAATGAGTTAGTTTCACAACTTTTGTATGTACATTTCACATAATTAAGGCATTTTCTTCCCGCTTGTTTGGTGATTTACGAAGGAAATTTTTCGCTAAAAAAAGTGATATCACTTTCTCGTTTCTTTTTCGCTACCTTGTTTATTCTAAATTTTAAGATTAGAAGTTAATTTGAAGCACAAATTCAATAGTATTGTTTGAAAGATATAGTCGTTTAAATGAAATGACGAGGTCAGTCAACCAGTTAAATTGCAAGGGATATAAAAAATTGAACGTAAAAATTGTAATAAACAAAAAATGTTCAAGTTCAGAATATTTTATTTTCAAATTGATTTGGATTTTACCTGATGCTGGTATTTTAACAATTTATAGTTGAAATTTTGAGGACTATTCATCAGAGAATAGCATATTTTTGCGGAAGCGGATGCGGAACTGTAATGATTTTAGATGACTCTTTAATGCATCAGTGCTCGTGAGCCCTTTTCGCGAATATTTTGCCACAAATTTTGCATTCAGCACTTGCATCGTTAATATTAACAAAATAATTCCAAATGGAACTTCTTTCTGACTTCAAAATTGCACTTTTAACTTAAAATTTACACCACTGTATTAATATTCTCGAAATGAAATTATTAGAACTGGCTAAGGGAAACTGAAAGTCCTGGACGTTTTTAGATTGAAGTAGGAAACTAATAAGAAAATAAAATTTGAAAAATATCAACATACGAAATACTAGGAAATAAGTTTAGATCCTAAACTATAAGAAAGTTATTTGCACAGGGACAAAATTATTTTTCAGCCAACATATAAAAGTAAAAAAATTTTACGACTTGTTTTATTGTTCCGATATATTGATTTTCAAAAAGATGAGGAAGTAAGATTGATATTGATGATGATGATGTTAAGTTCCCATAAGCTTCCGTTATAAAAATACGGAACAACATGCAAAAGCGAATGTGAAAATGTATGCGGAACTTCCGTAATTACGGAAGCGGAGGCAGAGGTCTATTGCAAAACTACTATTTAGTTCTTAATTTAAAACGGAAACACCTCTCAGTGTTGTTTATAAGTATCTACCTGCAATTTCCTGTAGTCTTTCGCTTGCCTTGGTCTACCATTATTGTGTTTGAAGTTTCGTTAGAAGTTTGTTTCTCTTGAATAGACGCTTGGGTTAATTTAGTTTTTCCGGGACGCTCCAAGATGTTTTCTAAATGATTCTGCAATCAAAGGAAACGTAATTGCTTGACGTTGCTGACTAAATGTTCGCTTTTAGAATAAGGATTTGGGAGCAATTTCAAGTAGAGATGCTGTTTCCTTCCCTGTGCGCTTTACTGCATTTTTTAAAATTCTTTTGATATTTGGCTTCGATAATAAAAATGTGTCTTTTGGGCATTAAGTTCAACATGGTCATTTACATAAAACCTTTAGAAAATCCTCATTCGTTACGTGGAAGGCAGAATATAAATATCTTTAATTCACTGAGAAAATAATCATTATCAAACTTTAACCTTTCAAGCGCTCTTATTTGGAGCAAAACAGTCTTAATCCGTCTTAATTTTAAAGTGTTAATTTGAAGCTTCTGAAACTGCTTTAGATCGACAAATATTTATCTCTTGGATCCGTCTTGTTTGGGCCACTCGATTTGCTTTTAAGTGGCAGATAAATTGAAATGAAGAATATCCTATTAATAACTCATATTTTTGTGAACGGATTCTATCCATAATCTACATAAAATTACGGAATGCCGTAGGTACGTTTTGATATTATTTTATATGAAACCGAATTTATGTTGTTTTAGGTATTTTTTAATCAAAAAATTCTGAGGAAATTTATTTTGTTCCACACATAGAAATAAAATTAAGTAGGTAATGGGATTGAATTATCAAGGGCAACAAAGGATTTTAGAATAACCAAATCTGATTACTATTTTAGAATCCAATTTATACAGATACAGGCTTACGATTAATCTAGGAATTGTATACAATTCCTAGGAAATGTGTAAAATTCCGAAGCTACTTAGGAAATCTATAAAATATTGTTTCAAAGATTTTTTAACACACACATATCCTGGTAAATGTATAAATTTCCTAGGAATTGTATGAAATTCCTATAAAAAGGTATAATAGTAATGCTTTCTGTAAATAAAAGGAATACCCTCCCTTCGCTTTGCTATCCCCGCGTACCTATTGACATCATGAATGTTATACATTTCCGACTGCTATTTAGGAAATGTATAGATTTCCTAGGAAATGTGTCTAATATAATTTGTTTCATACATTTCCGGGCTATGTTAGGAATTACATAAATTTCCTAGGAATTGTATACAATGACGGATTACACACATTTCCCTTAACATATAAATCAATAACATACTAAAAATACAAAAACAAAAAACTAATAAATCTCTATATGGAGAAGCTGTTCGATTGGGAAAACCAAGAAAACATTAAAAATGTAAGCAGGAAATATTTTGAAATGCTTACAAATAGATGTGTAATTTCCATTTTCGGTGAATGTTTTGCCTTACCTATACAGACTGTTCTTGAAAAACAGTTCAATTTGCAATCTTGTTTTTATCTTTGTATCGTACTTTGTTTATCAGACGTCCTTTTAATACGTTTTATTTTGCACCATCTCATCTATCAAATAAACAGATCCATTAGATTCTATAATGGTAGCAATTTCATCTCCTTCGTCCGTGACGCTTCATTACATTTTCTGAATACCCAAAAACAAACTTCTTTGAAATTGAATTGAGGCTAGTGATTGATTTCTGAGTGTATCGGGTATTATGGCATATATACTTTACGTCATTTAGAAATGTAAACAGTTCAATTTATAAGAAAAGGGTAAACAAGTTAGGTAACTTGAAAAAATACTTTTTCCCCATAAGTCTACCGAAGTACGATACTTTTCCCTGATTTTAGGGATGAAAGTGCAACAATCCTTCCTAGGTAAGAAACCTCATTTACCTACTGTTTATTGGAGAAGTATTTTTTTCGTTTTCAAAATAAGGAAAAATTGAACTTTCGTGCGGGATATAGAAAAAAATTATATACGGGCCTCGGGGAGAAAGTACGCCACACCCTTCCGGAAGTTTGCCACCCGAGCCAAAGAAAATTCACACCCGGGAACGAATTCCATATACTTACGTAATATACTGTTCCGTGTGATTTGAAAGATTCAGTGTTACAGATTTTTTTTTTTGAAATTTTATGTCGTATTATTATAGATATTGCTGAAAATATGTTCCACCCTTTTTATGCCCGAAAGTACCTACCAAACTAAACTACGATTACGAAAAAACCGGTAAACGGAGTTAACGCAGTATCTCATAAACTTTAAAGAATTATCTCCATTTATAGTCTTTAAGAAATTTACGAAAAAATAAAACTAAATATAATAAATTAACCATAAATATTTTAGTGTAATTATAAGTAGGTACATCAACAATTATAAAGGAATTTTGAAGTATTGAAAGGGCATTCATTCTTTTGAGTTTATATTTTTAATGTAATAACAGAGACAATAAGTTTCAAATGGCAAACACAACGAATACACAGGTATGTAGGTACAGGCCTGACGCTGGAAGCTGACGGAAATTTTCAAATGGCGTGGATGCGCGGTAACAAAAGTAGGCAGTTTTAGGTATAAAGATTGCAGCCCTCTTTCTTCAGTATTCCTATCAGGGGCGTAGATTAAATATTTAAAAATAGGGATCAGTGAGCAAGTAATAGACAGACAAACAGAAGAACTAATTGTTGATGTTGGTGACAGTGATAGAGATTCCCATGATGAGAGTGAATGTGAAAACTAACTAGAAAACAAAAGCAATAGGTTAATTTTTTCTTTTTGATAAGTCATGTTTTTACATTATTTTCTAGTACGCTACTGCCCTATCTGTATTAATACTATCATTTACGCCTACTGAAAGCTTATTTGTGTATCGCTTCCAAGTGACTTACCCAAATAGGTCATAAATGGGCAAGTACCTGCGCGACCGCTCGCCAGCTTCCTTCGTCCGACCTGTACATTTCAGTTTATAAGATGTTTTCAATGCTTTGGAATCTGCTTTCTGTTACGCGTGTAAAGATCAAAGGATCAAATGATCTAATGTTACAACACAGGAAATAGGGAGATGTTACCCGTAAATGTTTTGGAATCTGTATGTATTATACGCATAACATGTTCCCACTGTTTACTCGAATTGTTTATTTCTACGTTAAACACGTGTTTGTTTTTCAGGCGTTAACAAAAGCTTCAAACACAAAATGCTTTGATAATGTCGGCGTGGAAAACTTTAAATGAAGGTTTCTTTTTTCACAAAAGCCTGTAAAGTAGCAAGAAGGCAATTCAATTATTATCAGCGGGCCTTAATGAAGCCTTTTTGTACGTGGAATATTCGCACTTTTGTTTGCAATGCTATTCACAAAGCTTTTATCGAAAGCACCGAACCTCCTGCCAATTTGCCTCAACACTTTTAAAACGCGCACAAAGGATAACATATTCATTTTTGCGGTTTTTTGGTATCCTTATTACCATATTTTCGTATGCCACTTAGGAAGCAGTATAGGATGAGGGAAAGGACCTTGGCAAATAGCGTCCGTAGCAAGGATATTCTCAAGCTTTGGAAACAATTTCTGTTCAAACTGATTTTCGCTCTTTTTTTAAGTAGACTAAGTAGTAGGAGAATAAGAAATAGGCAATATAGGTTGGTAAGTCAACTTCTTAGGCTTTAAGCGCTAGTTACAGACATATTAGAAGAAGAAACAGGAGTTAAGAGGAGTAGAAGTAGACCTGGATTAGATTACTGTTCACAAATAGTTAAGGATGTGGGATGTTCTAGTTTTAGGAAATGTAGTGTCCGACCGAAATTGGTTTTTACGACCGAAACCCAAACCGAAACCGAATTTCGGCAACGGTCTCAGAAAAATAAAGAAAACGTTATTATAATCAGTCAGTTTTATTTTTTAATCTTTAAATCACATAGCTCTGCAGTCTTTAACATTTTCATTAATTGATAATCAAATCAGAACCAACATAACAACCCCTCATTTAAGGAAATACTTTAATTGCGCCTTAAAAATACTTAAAATAGGTGAGATGTTTATTTGAGTAAGTATAGTATACTTCGCTTGGATGGAATTTAACGCGCCGAACATGACCGAGCAGAGCGCGAAAACCCCCGAACGCAGTTTCGGTTTCGGTCGTAGTTTCGGCAGGTTTGCCGCCGAAACCGAAACTAAACCGAAACTCGTTTTTTTTGCCGAAACTCGACCGAAACTGAATTTTCGGTCGGACACTAAGGAAATGTAAATTAGCTCAGGATAGGAAAGAGCGGAGGTGTGTGTCCAACCAGTCTTAGGATTGACGACCTTATGATGATGATGATGGACAATAAAAATTTACATTTAATTTTTGTTTAAAAGCTGACAAATATAATGAACAAGCAATTTCATTATTTTAAAGTCAAATAACTCATTGATTTCTAATCAAGTCTCACATCAATTGATATCAAACCAATCACAATGATGCTCTCTTTGGTAGGTAATTACTAATTAATTGAATATAAACAATGAAGCGCCAAAGAACAAAAGCGTAAGTTCTCGTACAATAAAAGAATTGGATAATTCAAGTCAATTAATTGATTAATGAAGGGGGTGGCTTTTCGACCGTTTTATTTGATGCGAGATACGATTAAAATGATTTATTTGACTTTGAAATAATAGGCACTATTGTAAACAATCTTACCTACTATAATGTTCAACAATTAAATAATTTCTGCATTAGATACAAATTTGTTTAAATCATATCTTAATTGGAGAAAAATGGGACCGATGATCATTAATAGTTTTGTTATATGGAGATATTGGGACTTAATATAAAATAGTTAGTCATAAAATAAAAACAAATATATATTCGAACATCACAGTTAATTACTGATGCGGATATTCTAGATCGTACTGATTGGTTTGCGTGAAATTAACTTTCGATTAGAAAAGTTTTCCTAATAATAATGATTTATGTAAATTACTGGTTGTTTTATTTCACTTACCGATTCACAGCAGTCTAGATCTAGTAGGTACACCGCACATCGATCACATTTCAAAAGATCTTGCGCTTCTCTCATTATCTTCGTAACCAAACATTCCAAATTATTTTGTTCCTCGAATATGCTTCTAGCAAGATTAAGAAGTATCTGGAAGCAAAAATTTAAAGTTGTATTACGCTGATATTACATTATAATATACTTTGTAACTTCTCTACGGCAAAGATTATCATAGATTCTGATATAGAGAGTACGTAAAGTTAAAAAATATACAGAGCCTTTTTAATTACCTAACTGTTTATTTGATCTTTTCCAGGTTTGCTAGTTATTAATGCAAATGAGAAATATAGGGGAAGAAATGAAAATGAAGATATTTTAGAATTTTTTCGAAAAATGGAAGATTGAATTTGCATTCAATTCACTAGAACGGGAAAATGGATGGAAAAACTCTAACGACATCACAAGAACTTCGTAATGCTTTTTACTCTTTCCATTTTCTGGAATAAATTGAAGAGTAAAAATAACGTACAGCCATCGGGTCGAGCCATCATGTAAAATGGAACGAAAGGTAGATAATTCGAAGTCGATAAATACAGAAAAGTGTAAATTAAATTCGTAGTTTACTTGCAAAATTTGCCCACTTTGAAGATCGAATAGTTAATACCAAATACCTACTCGAAATATTTGTAGGTCCATAGTTTTAACAGAAAATATAATATACCAAAAGTAGTGGATAATTTAAATAATTTACGTTAGTTCTCAACTAGATAAGTAACGAATAATATAAATACAAATCACAACGTTCATTAGATGATTCCTCTGCTGTATTATGTTCTAAATCGCTATTAAGAAATTATTAATGAGGAGAATCCGTACCGTAGAGGGTTTAAAGGGATGTAGCCCCAAGCGTAATAAATAAGAGACCTCGTTTTCATAAGACTAATTTAATTTAAGAAGAATATACTGAAATTTAAACAATGTATCACTAATGACGATCTACCTATAGGTAAATATGATTTTTCTTTCGATAAAACATAAGTAGGCTTAAAGTGGAGAAGGCGTTTTTCAAATATTAAATCTGAGCTTCGATTCATTTAAAGGGTACTGTATTAAATCATCCAGAAAAATTGTGCGATGAATAAGGGAACATGTGTGAAATTAAACGTCAAGTGTTAAGTGATAAGGTTTATCCTTGTTGATAAAAAAACTTGAGGGTTTGCCATTGGGATTCCGTAAAGTTCATTTCATTTTAGTTTCACGTAAAAAATTGGAAAGAGAAAATAAGTGCTGATTTGACGATCTTTGAAAGTAGCAATCGAATGTTCTCAATTCCGGCGACTTTCTGAACCTGCTGTCATTTTGATGAGGGTTAAAAAGATGAAAACGACGTTTGACCGACTATTTTAATGCCACAATTGCGATATATGAATACCTAGCGTATTCATCGAAGCTCAAAGCATCTATTAACTTCTTATATATTTTTTAGTTAATAAAATGTATATATAGCTTATATTAAGTGATATACAGGATGATCACAATATGTTCCGTAAGACTATAACCAGTGGTCGGTCTCATTTTCATGTGCTATCAATCAACACATAGGTTTAGTTAGTTTCCTATCCTGAGCTAAACTTCGCATTTCCCTAAAACTAGAACAACCCACATCCTTAACTATTTGCGAACAGTAGTCTAATCTACGTCTACCTCTACCCCTCCTAATTCCGGTTTCTGCCTCTAATATGTCTCTGACTAGACCTTCATGCCTGAAACGGTGTCCTACCAACCTATCTCGCCTATTTTTTATTGACTTCCATAGAGTCCTCTGTTCTCTTATTCTTTCTAATACCTCTTCATTTCTAACCTTTTCTACCCACGTTATCCTCATCATTCGCCTATAACACCACATTTCGAAGGCTTCTAGCCTTTTCTTTTCCGCCGCACTCACTGTCCACGTTTCGCACCCGTATAACGCCGCGCTCCAAACATACCTTTAACAACCTTTTTCGAATTTCTAAATTAACTGTTCGCGAGCATAGTGACTTCTTTTTATTAAAAGCGACACGACCCTGAGCTATCCTCTGCTTTATATCCCTACTACTCCTTCCGTCCTGACTTCCTAGATACCTAAAATCAGCCACTTCTTCTAATTTTTCTTTATCTTTATATTCGCTCTTATTTCCTTACTTGTTCTTCCCTTGCATACCAGTATTTTAGTTTTTACTTTTATTTATTTTCATACAATAAAGCTATCTCTAGGTCCTCCTTTCTAGATGCTAATACTGCTATAAATTGAATTAAGTTTGTTTTCTGTTATTTAAAGGAACTGTTAATTAAAACTTAAATTAATAACATTTTTGCTTCCTTAAGAATTTATAGTTCTGATTTATTTATTAGTATGCACCTACTTTTTAATGATGCAACTAAAAGTTAATATTTGTAAACTTCCTGTTAATGAACGCCTCAAGAATCTTTTTAAAAATTCTGAACACATCTGTTTTTATATCTCGAAAAATGTGAGCTTTCACTAAGTCTATACTTTGTTCTTTTGATGACCTCATCAACTCAGCATGCCGTGTCATCGACCTACCACCTGTTATAGTTTCACGTAAGGTTTTCTGAATACTTTGTACGTCTTATATCAATAAGCTTTGAATCCTGGACTGGAGATTCGTTCTACTTATTATTATTACCTGATTCCTTCTGTATTCCATGACTGAAACTTCAAATAGCTGAGCATTTTGAATGCCGATTCCACAAAATGTGAGATATCGCTGAAATACTTCCACATCTCGTGGTGAGAATTCTAAAGTTTCGTCAACTTTGTTGATTATCTGGGCAACTCCGATGACTTGACCTTCATAATTGCAAATTGGCATGCACAATATTAAATTTGTTTTGTATCCTGTTTTCAGATCTATCTCGCTGTTAAATCTTGGGTCCTGTAAGGAAGAAAAATACTTGTAAAATTTATACATTTTTTGTTTCTAATTGAAGATTAAATGGTCAATAATTTACGTTTCAGCAATTTGTATATAAAGGAAAACGATAAATTAATTTTATAATTGCAATACTGACAGATAGTCTACAGTAGCGATGTTGTGGATGCAAAATTTTCTGGTTAATCCTTTTGCTTTTAATTCGCTCAATAAACTGGAATGTTTAAATATACTCGTATTATAAGTATACACCTATATATTTTGTTGTTGTGATAAGCAGCAGATGGTTATGAGTTTATTTTGTCAGCTTGTTGCTTGGAGAAAACGAGAAACAATGTTTCAACACATTCTTCCTATAAATTTCTTGGAAATACTTCATTTTCGGCTTAGGTCATTAATACGTCCTCGGCAAAATTTAAATATAGCATTAACTTATTTCCTCCCGTATTTTACTGAGAATATACGTAGAGAGTGGTACATCTAAATTGCAAAATGTTGCAACAGCATCAATATTCTATGCAGTGTAGGGAAGTCTTTATTTTAGGTCAGTGTCTTCTTCAAGCAGTTTATAACATTAAAAGTTGTGAAAAAGTGAGTGTATAAAAATTGATTTTAAATTTTTTTATCTATTATAAAGACCATAGAAGCTAGTATTTTTATGGTCACCTCGGCTTCTTGACTGTAGGAAATGAAGAAGTACCTACAATAGGTATTTTTATAACACGACGTGTTTACATAAATAATCCATATCTAGGTGGGATAAAAAATATTATACAATTTCTTGGTTTCTAATTTTAGTCCCGATATTTGATTGATTTCCTGTCAAACGTATTGCCATTTATTATCCCCTATCCCTTTGTTGTTCAAATTGTTTAAATTTGTTCAAGGGATTTCAAAGAATAAGAAAAAATATTTTTAGTTTGTGTAAACAATTCTACGGTAATTAAAAGGCAGGGATTTCTCTCTTCCTTTTTCTGAAACTACATTTAATTTATTTTAATAGTTATAGTATGAATAATAAATAATTAGTTGTATATGTATTTTGTTCCTGAAATATAATCTGGAGGAAGATTAATCCTAAAGGATTTTAAGATTTAATAACCATTTAACTGGATATATAATCAATTTGTAATTTATAATCCTATATAGATTTCATAAGAGAAGAACGGAATGCCTAATATCCTTAAGAATACTAAAAGCAGCATATGCTAGTCGTCTTTGACTTTAATATGACAGGAAGGGATTTCCCTGGATAAGGAAAGTGAAATTGCACCTCGCGGCTTTTTCCAAAATATCTATTGGAACTTATTGGTACATCAAAAGAAAGTAAGCCCACAGTTAGCACCTCGAATCCTCCCTATAGGGCTAAATGATCACGTTTAATTTTTTTTTGTAATAGGGCAAAAAACCTTCATGAGCATTGAAAATTCGTGTGGATCTTAAGGGTTGCACCAGTAATGCGACACACAGAGTTCAGATCCACACCACGGCTTGTTATTTCGTTACCAAGAAATTTTGTAAGGAAAACCAACTAATCTCGAGTGACTCTTTGTTAGAGAGAGGCTTTCGTAATAAAGAGTCTCATTACAAAATGTTTACTGAGGTAATAAACTGTGTTATCCTCAGTTCATTACTTTCATGATAGTTATCTTTTTATAGTTCATTGTAAATGATCTCCTTTTTAAGATCGATATTATTTTGAAGCTTTTTCATGTGATTTCAAAATGGCATGTGCCCATCAAACAAACATAACACTTAACAGATACTGCTCTACTGTTCATTAATTTTTATTAGACAGGATCATGCTTGGGGAATCCTGGACCCAATTTTCATTTACCAATATCCACCGCTTGAAAATGAGGGAAAAGGTCAACAGAAAATTGATATTTCTGGTTCATGAATGAAACGATACGTACGTTGTAGGCATCCTTGATGTTAACGAGCGTTTTATTTTTGGCGGCGAGACCGGCGATGCCAACCCCGAATGGGATCCGAATATCCTCGTGTCTGGCTAATTTGACGGCTTCCTCGAAAGGAGTATCGTGACGTACGTCGAACAGCTTGGCGACGAGATACCGGTCGTTAGGTGGGCCGCGCACAAGGAAAAGCGAACCCCTGTCGGCGTGAGTCAGTAGGCACACGTTGACTAGGATCTTGTGGCACAGGACGTCGATATCCAGCTCGTTCGCCACATCGCGGATGAGCTCCATGAATAGCTCCGATTCGTCCATGCTTTCCAAGTCTCTTTTCGTCGGACGGACATTTTGGGGCTAGAAATAAACGAAAAACAAATTATATTAAATCCTAAGTGATGCCCAAAATCTATTATTCGATTATTTTTATTGATCTACTCCGTCATCGATAGAGTTCATCGCGGCAATTGTGGTGATGCATGTATACTGTACTGTTAGATTGAAAGAACATAAAAAAACCTATATTGGATAATTGAAACAACACATGATTGGCATAGGGTGCACTTTTCTTAATGATAAATTTATTTAGAAAATAAATTTTCGGAATTGGATGATTTTATTAACATTAACATTTGAAACAAATTCAAGAATAAATATTGTTATAGCGGAAGTCTATAACGCCTGATTTTATTGGAGATTTTATCAAAAAGTTCTTTTGATTTTTCATGATGTAGTTGTGTGATTAAAAAGAGAAAGGAAAAAAATTGGTCTGAGCACGCTTTGGTCGGTGCTAATACGACTAACTTCCCATTAGATAATACAGTTATTATTGATTCCGTAACTTCATTGTTGTGATTAGATTAGAACGTATTTTAATTAAATTGTTTGTAATTAATTCGTTTTTTTTTATAAAAAAAAAACGGCTTGACCGATTTCGTTCAAATTTCTTTCAGATCTTCATTATGATAATATCTTTCGAAAAAATTTTGGTTGAGGGCGATATCTCAATCCGTTCTTGAGATATCGAAAACGAAAAAAATGCTGACATACGAACGTACGTACATACGTACGTACGTACGTACGTACGTACGTACATACACACATCATCAAAAAAATTGGCTAGCATGCTACTAATATGTTAAAACGTGGAAATATAATGAAAATTCCGATTTCACTTTTCGACCCAATTACAATAACTTCCTAATGGGAAGTTAAAAATTGTTTAATCGATAATTGTTGATTCAACTTGAAGATACGAATTCCCGCAAACTATACCGAGAGCCAAAATAACCGTTACTATCTTAACTCATGATCAGTACAAAAAAACATCTATTGGGAAAATTAGAATACTAAGGGTAAGGGCAACGGTACCTCAATATTTGGTACTCACAGCGATACGACAATATTTAAAACAGGGATGCATCTTAATAACTTTATATAAACCACCAAGGCAGCAATTTCTACGAACTATCACATTTTGTAAAAAATTCTTTCTTAACACTTAAAGAGACTTTTTTAAATTTTGACAATGAAAACAGCCCCCAATAAAGGTTAACGTTAGATATCTAATGCTACAACACTTCGATTGTTACAATTCCTTTTTTTTTAACGTTTTGACGCATTCTTAAGTGCATTGTTTGGATCAAACAATGGAGAAAATCGCTTTTAGAGCAAACAGTGCATAGGACAACTACTGAAAGATCGAAGGGTTGAAGGCAAGTGCTTAAATGGATGGTATTATTCATTATAAACCTAAAATGAAAATAGAAATTGGACACAATACAAGGTTGTAATGAAACCGAGTGTTACAAATTAATTAGTGATTTGAATTAAAATATTGTCTAGCAGCGTAGCAGTTAACATGTGTTTTGTTTTGTAGTTGTGGACATTTTAAGGGCGTGCACGGTACATTTTATTTCTTTTTTGCATATAATAAAACTGTAAAATTTTGAGTTGGGTGAATAAAGGAAAAGAGATTTTTGAAAAACTTGTGAATACTTCATATTTAAACTATTATTACTTCCAGTATATTTATAGAAGGTTTATGTTAACGTATTAGGGTTTATTTTGTGTTTTATTGCAATCGATTTGGAATCGTTATTTTCTGAATTCATTTGAAATTTCCGAACTGCTTAGCGTAAAATATTAATTAAATTTCTCTTTATAATAATAATAACAACAATAATAACAACCTACTTTGAAGTACTTTTTCTCTCTGCATTGATAAATTGCTGAACTAGAATGAAAGCTCTTCTTTTATCTCTTACAATTACCGATTGTTAGAAAAAGCTCTTTATAGAGAATCCGTCGACAGATTTAAATCTGTTTACTTATTAGTGAGTAATTAGAATTTCCTTTCCAGGGAGATGCGGAAAATTTTCTTTGGAAAAACAATTGAATCTGTTTGTTTTTATGTTCGCAGAATTATTTTATTATTTGACGCAATATTAATATGTATTTAATTTCTTTTTATAGAAATTCCACATTTTCTGATTAATATCATCATGTGTTTCCTTAATTGTTTAAAAAAAAATAAAAAAGCACTGCCTATAATAACAGTATCAATTATCCGTTGTAAAGATTCCTGAAGACGTATACCATACCAAGTGTATTACCGAAACGTCGAGTAAAAATGATCCTCTAAATTCGAATATATAATTTATTGATTATATCAAATAATCGATTTTTGATGCTCGAAACAAGAATGTGTAAAGACCAGTAAGTTATAATTATATTGGCCAAGGTGATAGATCATTCGAAAAACGTATTAATGAACATATAAATAACTTAAACAACCGAAGTACTCCTGTAATTATACGAAACACGTAATAACGGCTAAATCAGTTTAATTACAAGCTAAAGGCTGATTTTAATAGTGAATCAGAGAAAATTTTTATTCGTTTTGTATTGAGTGTTAAATTTTGATTGAAAGTTAATATCAATCAACACTTCAATAAAGCTACTAATTGGAAATTCCGCGGCGCAATCACGCCGAATTAATACGAACAAAAACAATCAAAGTAATTAAATGTTCACATGAGATAGTAACCAAGTATAAATTATTCCAAATTATGTAAATGTTTATAATTGTCTACGGTTTTTATAGCGTTAAATTTGAGCCAATAGCAGTAGCTGCAATTAATAGCTTTATTATTTAAACTCGGAACCAATACAACTTTCAAGATTGATGCTCTTAATTAAATTAATTTTAAGGAGATTATTTCCACTGTTCGTGCCACTCGCTACAAGAATAACAGATTACATCTATCCACCTGAAAGTTTAGTTAAGGAAACTAAGTTAATAAATCTTGGAATTAGGACTTTCGATTTAGAACTCCCGATTAACAATTCGGATATCTATACTTATGTACTTAGTTAGGCAAAGGCAAAGGCAAAATTTGGTGAAAAGTATGAGAATGGAAGTTCTGAATGGGATTAATCACTACACAGTATAAAACAAAGTCGTTTTCCCGCTGTCTGTCCCTATGTATGCTTAAATCTTTAAAACTACGCAACGGATTTTGATGCGGTTTTTTTTAAAAGATAGAGTGCTTCAAGAGGAAGGTTTATGTGTATAATACATGCATAATATAGTAGGGAAACACTGATAATTTTAGAGGTTTCTAATGTGATGTAAATAAACACATTATTTGCACTTACATTGCAAACGCTGGCTGAACCCTACGAGACAGATCAAAATAATGTACTATAATATTGTACATCTTGAAAAGGTCTACAAAAAAGTCCGGGATGGTATATGTCTATCTCTTAGGGATAACCCACAATAACCATTTCTATCCATTACTTTTTATGAGAAATAATGACTTATTTACGAAGCGATTGTAGGCAATACAGCATTAACTCTTATCCAATTAAGTACCTTAAATACATTGTGCATTTAATATAGATCAATATGGCCCTTAAATGAATATTTTCGAAGATATTACAGATTTAAAATGCAGGGACATAGCGGTTGCGGCGGTACCGGCCGGGGGGCCGGTTTGTATTGTCTAATGACAAAAAAACTGTGGATGTTGTATATAAAGACATTCTGTAGTATATTTAGTATGTTCAGGGGGTATCTTTTGAAGATTTCCCCTTTTCGATAATAATCTAAACAAAACAAAAATATATTTAGTATCAGAATTACATCCGTGCGAAGCTGGGGCGGGTCACTAGTGATTTATATAAATTAAAAGCCAACGCAGCTCTCTATTTTTAAATGAAACTCAAAAAAGGGAGGTGTTTTGACTTGAATCCTTTTTCTAAATGGATTTTCTGCAATAGCACATCATCATAATTGGATCATTTTAAGCCATTTCCAAGAAAAAATTTTATCGTAAAGGTCAATTCCATCAATTATTTCGGTTAAGATATATTAATAATTTTATGAATCCTTTCCATTTTTATTGCATTAGTTAGGACTATCGGGCCATAAGCATTACTATCTGATATTAAAAACCGCATAATTCTAATTATTAGTCAAAAATTAACCTTCACAGATAAACCAACAATAATGTGATTCGTTTTTTGATTTTGAAACCCTTAAAGGCAGTAATTTCGGGTATCAATTCATTTCTAAAGCATCATCCCAAAGTAAGGGAACGTACCCATACTACGTGACCCATTTTTTATCCTCTCATCCCCCTCAGTAATAACCGCAGTATATGTCAAGACACCCTCTAGTTTTTACTTAGTAATTCATAAATATGGTTTTAAACAATTTTTTGCAAACAAAAGTTTTGAATACAGCTCGAAAAAGCTCAAGATTTCCCTAGAGTTTCCTCTCCCCCGGAACGGGTCACGAAGTATAGGTACGTTTCCTAATGAGGGGCACATTTTATAAAGAAACGTTGAAATGTGAACATTATCTACATGTAGATGTAGTCGAGCGGAGTTTTATTTTAAATTGATATTCTACATTAGCTCTATCGTAAGTAAATACAGTATTTATGTCAAAACTAATGTGGGTCAACAAAACTCGAAAAGTTTCAGATTACATAATCGATATGTAGGTACTTTTCACATCATGGTGAATTTGTTTTTCTTCTTTTCTTGAGCGATCCGTGCGTTAGAAACGTGACCGTTACCTTTCAGTTCATTCGTTGAACCTTTTTCTTTAACAATCGAAGCATACAGGAAAAATAGCTAGTCGAGTGTGTAAACAAACAAATTTACTACGAAAACGTTTCTTGTTGGGTTGGTGACGATTGATACGATATATTTTTAGCAAGGCGTTTTTTGATGAACAGGAAACAGAGAACATAGAAGAAGCAACTGATAATTATCCTCATATTCTCGAAAACATCACGAAGCACCTTGGCGATAAAAAAAGCTCATCAAAAGAAACTGTTTAA